TTACTGGGCTGAAATACTTGATATAGACTAAATCGGAAGAACTGGACGATATAGCAGGGAATACACTGACATCTCACATCATATATACAGTCGTTCAAAATTCTGCAGTGACACAGGAACCATTATCCCCTGCAAATTGGTAATCTCTTCACTTTTTTCTAGACCTGCCTCTCCTTTTGAGTGAACCCCTGACCCGCCTCTTACAACTCCGAAATGTCAACAATGTCAAACGGATCCCGGTCCGCCTCGCTCACAAATACCTGCACACCCGCCTCCTTACCCTTCAACTCACCCTCCAGGAGCGGCTTCATCACCTCCGTCAGGTACCCCCTCTCCGAGTTGCTGTGGAACACCGTCACGACCGTCTTGCCCTCCTGCACGGCCTTGAGCGCGTTGTGGTGGCTCATCTCACCCGTGACGATGACGTCTGCGCGCGCGCCCTTGACGACGTCCCACCCGCTGCCAGCGCACACGGCGACGGCGTCGACGCGTGCCGTCGACACCCGCTTCGGGTCCGGGCTCGCTACCATGACGCGGCGCATGCCGACACGCTCGGCCACGCGGCGGATGATGGCCGCGAGGGACTCGGGCTGGCGGAAGGTGCAGAGCAGGCCGTAGCCGGAGCCCTCGAAGCCGGCGGGGGCGGAGGAGAGCGGGGTGACGACGGTGCGCTCGGACGGCGCGGCGGTGGTGGAGGAGGTGGCGGGGCCGCCGGAGACGATGTCGCCGAGCCAGGTGTTGAGGCCGTTGGGGGCGGCGTCGACGGCGGTGTGCGGGCAGTAGACTGCGACTCCGTGGGCGGCGAGCAGGAGGAGGGTTGCTTGTTGCGGGTCGTTTGTGGTGATTGACTTGAGGCCGGAGAAGATGAAGGGGTCTGGGAGGATGGTTAGATTTTGGTGGTAGATGAGAGAGGGTAAAAACGTACGGTAGCTGACGATGACGCTGGCGTTCTTCTGGATTGCTTCCTCCGCGACGGCGTAGGTGAGGTCGTTTGTGAGAAGAACCACGGGGGATTTGGGCTGGCGGGAAGCCGGAGTCTCGATGTTACCGAGTAGAAGACCAACGTTGTCCCAGCGTCTGTCTGCGAGCTCTTCGGGGTAGCTGTGGCGGTTGTGAGTGTGAGATGTATGAATGAGGGGGGTGCGGGGTCTTACTGCTTTCTCATAGCATCCACGACCAGACTGGTGAAGCTGGGGGAGAAGTATTTGTTGCTGGTGGCCATTTTGAGAGCGTCTTGTGCTTGTCGCAGACGGATACTTGTTGTGAAATGAGCTCGAGGGACGTGTGTTGTTGAAGGGAGACGAATTCGAGGTGTGAACGTTGCCGCGCAAACTCGTCGACTTATATGCGCTGATGCCCTTGGAAGCTTGGTACTCATGTGAGGGATGGTGCTGCCAAGGCTAGTGAGCATAGTGTGATGAGAAGCATATGGGTATCTGGACACACTCTTCCAATTGACGAACTTGACCTTCCTGACAGTTTTTCGAAGTCGTGACGGTCGTATGAAGCTGGTTCTATGAGATGTCGAAGCCGAATTCAGAGGTTGTTTGTGCCCCTGTTACATGCATATCGATACCGAGCAGCGATTAGTCATTGGAGCTCTGACGTAAGCCCCTGAGAACTGCAATCCACCTCCACGTCACTCGTGCCAGCTCTTCAATCTCATATCCTGCATCACTGCTCATCACCTTCGTCGACTTGCTCTCATGTTATCATCGAGTTTTGACAATTTGAGATGTTTGAAGTGGTTGTTCGACCCCGAGGCATCATCTAGCGCGAAATTTGTGCTTGTCCTGCCACCCTGGTTAATGAAGAGAGAAGCCCCACCTTGGCGTCTTCCTTGATGAAGAGCTTTGCCGTCCTTTCACTTCAACAATCACATATCCATCCGATATGGTGTAGTGGCCAACATGATGCCCTCTCATCCTTGATGCGAGGTTAGGCATAGCCCCGAGTTCGATTCTCGGTTTCGGAATCTCCTTTTTGCCATTTAAGCAAGGTAGGTAAAATTGACACCCATAAGACCCAGCTGGAGACACAGTTTCGTTAAGGTAAGGTTAAGTAGAGATTTGCCAGCTGGGTAGTGCTATTATTATCGTCTTCTGTCGTCGTCTTTCGTCATCGTCTTTTATCGTCATCTGTTATCGTCGTCTGTTATTGTCGTCTTTTATTATCGTCTTTTATCGCCATCTTTTATCGTCATCTTTTATTGTTATCTTTGGTCGTTCGTTATCATCGTCGTCCTTATTGTTGTTGTTATTATCGTCGTCGTCGTCGTTGTCGTCGTTATTACCGTCGCCGTCGCTGCCTCCGCTTTCCATTCCGGAGAAGGAAGTATTCTGCGCCCCAAGGAAGGTGAGCTGAAGGAATGTAGGGTGGGCTCAAAGCACCTGTTCCCTCCGCCTTTTGGGTCTTCTGTCTTTGACGTATTCGCCCACTCCCACGACCGACATCCCAAGACCCCGCAAGAGCCTCTATTAATATGCAGGCTCCATACGTCTTCGCTAGTGCCTTCGCCCGTCGTTCTCGTCACACGTCTCATCCAGACCAAATCACCCACCATGGACAGAAACCCAACTTTCCGACAAATTCACAATCCCGAGCCCTTACCCCCCTATGACTTCGATTCAGCCCTGTTGGCAAGGAAAAAGGAATCCAGTATCGGCGAGCAAGCGCAGACAGTTGGGGTGCCGACCCGGCGAAAATGGATTGATTTGAGCACCTATGACGAAAGGGGAGAGACACTCACCATTGCTGTCGAGAACGGAGAGTACGGGGACGCTTCTGAAGTCCCACGCCACTATCCGGTCCCGCCCGAGCGTGCACATAAATTGTCTTCTGAACAGGACTCAATTGCGCCGCATCGCCGGCACTTGACAGCCGCGGGCAATGAGGTGCTCTACGTTTCAGAGCAGAAAGGGTCTGAGATGCAGTTTGCCTACGAGCACTCAGTGACGGCATATGGCATTGCCAGAAGAGTTGTCCCGAAGAAGACGACTGCGAAGAAGGGGGAGAGCCAGAACCTCCCGCAGTCGGATGCGTCCGCTCGCCCTACTACGACGTCCGCTGGCGTCTCAGCGCGTGCTGCCGAATCTCCGCCCAGCAGTGCCTCTGGCGATCTCAGTACCCAATATGTCAGGCTTTCCCTTCCGCGCAAGCGTCGCCTCCGAAATCCGAAGTCAAACAGGGTCTCAAAGACTTCACGAACACAACCCACCACAAGCTCGGCCACGGAAAGCTCGACCACGCAGAGCTCAGCCACGGAAAGCTCAGCCCGAGAGAGCGAGACCCATCTTTCTATTGTGAAGCCCGTCAAGAGACACCCGTGGGTCGAAATCCGGGCTGATGAGGTGACCTGGCGTGGACAACCAGGGCAAATACCCCAGAACACTCCCACGTTCGCCAAGCAAGTTGCTAAGAAAGTTGACAAAAGAGCCGCCAAAAGGGCCGCGAAGTCGGGTGCCAATGCAAATGTCAAGAAAGATCGGAAAGGCCGTGTGGTCTCCATCGACGAATTCAAGAGAATCGGCATTCTTTGGCGGCAAATACAACAACTTGAGGATTGGGCGAAGCATGAGCCGGTCGAGTGGAGTGATGATGATGGCACGCGACAAAGTGGCATTTTGGCGGGCGAGCTCCCTCCCGGGGCCGTGAAGCTCCTTCAACAAGCTGGCCTCTATATCATTATCTACCGGGTGCGGCACATTACGTTGAGAGATCATGTGTCTACCTTGCATCTGAAGTTTAATGTTAAGATCACATCCCAAACAACGGCTGCAGAACTATGGGAGCAGAACTTGGCGGGCGTTGAGGTGGAAGTTGGTGGCATAAGACATGAGGCGAGCATGGGAAACTGGAATCTGCAGCGGATTCGAGTTGGATGGATGGATGAGGCAAGATGTGAGATTCTTGACGATGCGGCCGATGTTGTCATGGATGATGCGTGAGATCGTCTTGTTAGGGGGTTTGCAGTCGTTAGCTTATCTTCCAGCTTCTTTCAGAGATGGCAACTACGGAAACACTTCATCTACAGTGTAATACACTTGGAGGTTTGCTAGCCGCGCAGTGTCCCCTACCCTATAACTTCAATTGTAGTACACCTCACCTAATACTTCGGTAAGGAAGATTGATAGTAGCAGAGAAGACGACAACAATGAAAGACGACGACGAAAGACGACGACGACGAAAGACGACGACGACGAAAGACGACGACGACGAAAGACGACGATAAAAGACAATAATAAAATACGACGACGACAACGCTGATAGAATAACAACGACGACGACAACGACAACAACGACAACAATAACGGCTGAGTAGCGAGATAGTGACAACGATGACAGAGAAATCAACTAAGCCCATTGAAAAAATGTGTGGCAGGTAGCCTTTAGAACGGGAAAAAGATCTCTTACTTCTTGGCTCGCATCAATGACGGACTCCAACGAAGCAACATGCGGTCGACGACCAGCAGTCTTTTCTACGCCATCTTTGACGATGACGAAGTGCACCTTGTGGGCACCGAATTAGCATGACGGAGGAGCGTCATCTTGCCTCGACCTCTCCTTTCATCCATCGTCTTCTTTAAGGGTGCGAAAAGACAACCAATTCTTTGCTCGGGTGGGTTTCTCGTCATCTGTTGCCAACTACCATCCGGGTACCTGCATTCTTGTGGACCCTCTCTTTATTCGTTAGATGTGCCTGGCACAGACCAGAAGGATCTCTGAGGTTAGACGTCTCCCTATATCCGTTTGCTGCCTGCCACTCAGAGCTTTCTTCCTCTGCCCACCATTCTCACTTTTGTCTTCTAGAGATCTCCGCTTCACTTACTCCTGCCCCAGCGAGAAGATCTCTTTCTTTTCCCAAGCCGACTTTCCTTGCCATACTTCTTGTTCTTCACCGGCTCGGCACGTCTTCAAGCTCGCCACGTCTTCAGGCGTCTTTCACACATGCGACAGCCCAATTTTCTTCAACCATCAACGTATTCGCTGTGAACTACAAGATGGTCGGATCTCCCTACATCACGGCCGCTGAGCAATACAAATCTGGGACGCAGTTCACTTTGTGGCAGTATGAGCCAGTGCAACCGCATGGCCTCCATCAATACGACAGAATTCCTCTGCCTCCTGACCTCCCCCCTGGTTGCATCCGAAATTTCGATCTTGAGGTGGCTCATGACACAAACAAGGAAGAGATCGACAAGCAAGCCGTGCTCCAAGTCAACAGAGTCATTTGCGGAGGCGACAACACCACGGTTCAAATTGTTCTTTTCGACATCCTTAAAGCTCCGGTTTCATATCGAGGCGACGCTGCTACACTTCCGGAAGATGGCACGCAAGTAGTCGGCTTGCTCTATGATACTGAGTTCTACCCTGGCGACAACGGCGCACCTTATTGCAACGCAGAACAGGCCGACGGTAACCTTAGTCGCACCGACGCCGCTCTCAAACACTTCTTTTCAAATGACAAGACCGGCCATCCACATATCGTTCCCCAGTATTACGGCTGCTGGGCGACTCGTGTCAATACATACAACGAAAGCGGTCTCGGCACTTTGAGATGCGTCGGTCTTGTCCTTGAAGAGTACATCAATGGCCATTCCATTGAGGACATTTGCGACCGCGATGAATGCGATGAACTTGTTCCTCCTGATGGCGACGTCGTTTTTCACATGCCCGAAGATGTTCACGATGGATTTCACACTTTGGAAATTTCCAAGGAGCTGTGCCAAGAAGTCATGAAGCAGGCCCTCAATGGTCTCGTCGAACACATGCATATCGGCGTTCAGCATAATGTCTTCGAGCCGCGCAAGCTCTTCATCACCTTGCGTAATGGAACTGTCGGTCTGGATTGGCCACGAGCTGTGTTGTTGGGATTCTCTAACACGGCGGTTTGGTCAAAAACCAAACAGGCAAAAGGCCCCAAGGGTCCGATTCAATTACTTGAGCTGCTTCCCTACCCGCCCCATCCTTACCTGCGCTTCAGTGTCAAGGCACTTGACGAATTCATCGGTTTCTGGCCCGCCCCTGAGGAAGGCTGGGAAGGCGATGAGGAGAGTGACTTCGATAATGAAGCCGAATTCGACGATTGGCTCGTCGATGAGGATGTTTTTGGCCCATTAACTGAGGCTGCAGACGTGGTGGCCAGCATGGCTCCGGGCGCCGAGTGGCCACACCCGTACAAAAAGTACTCTCTATTCAAGACACTCGACCCAATCAAGCCAAGAATCAAAGAGGAACGGGAGGAGAGACGCCAACTTCTGGAGAAAGAAGGTGTTCTCTCGGACAGCATGCGTGGAATGCTGCAATCAGAAGAGCAGTCGCACACCCCTCAACTACCACAACAGGGTGTCCAGGAGGAAGGCGTTCAGTCTGCGAGCACCGGATCGCATCAGCCTGAGACCGAGGCTACCGGATACACACAGGAGTTCTAGATAAGCTCTGGTGTCTTTGATGCCTCAGGTGAGAAATCACGTACTGACCAAACGGGAGTTTGCTAACTATACAAAGTCTCGGCACTGCCTTTCATGGAATTGCTACTCGCGCCAAATGCAGTACAAATCCTCCGAAGACGTCCCTTGTTCTTTTCCTTACTAATTCACGTTATGAGATATGCTCCACCGCTTTTGGCACCATTCCAGCCAGAGATCAGAGCTGAGGGAAGAGACATCCGACCTTACCATCGGAACGTGACCAACTCAGCAACGCCCCAGCAAAAGATGACGGAAATCATGGCAGCTCAAGAAAGACTCAATCGTCTACACGAGGACGTGCAACAGATTCTCAATGGTAAGACATTCCACGGGAGGCTGAGACAAAAGCTGATAAATTCGCAGTGTGGTTTCCAACCATAGATGTTCATCTGGAGGATGCTCAGAAAGCGATCGCCGCTGCGACCCAGAGAATCCGGCAACCTCCGTCAGTGGTCTTAGAAGAGACCGAAGCTTGGATTGCTCGAAGGCGCCTAGACATCCTGAGGGAATTGAGACCTCTACTGCATGTCCTCAAAAAGCTTGAACGCGTTATTCATCCTCGATGGACATGGCATCGCCAAGAAATACATCCGCAGCTGCTCAAAAATTGCGAAGCGATGCTTTCGATGGTGCGTAAACGCATCGACAACTTCGACAGTGAGTAACAGCTTGGACGCAAGGCGAAGATGACACAGCTAATGTCAGTTTAGAGTTGACTGAGGAACTTGCCTTCTTCCAACAACCTCGTCCCGTACTTCGGCCGCGCCTCCATCCTTCCCAAGTTGGACTTCTCCGAAGTTTCCACAGCTTGACCATCGCCTGGGCTACTGCGGGCTCTGAAACCCAGAGCTCAACTGAGAGCTCGGGCACTCGAGTGGATGAAGAGGCAGGCACTGGAGCGGGCGAAGAGGAGGCGTCTTAGCGTGCATCGTGTGACTTTCGAGGGTACTGCGGATGAATAGAAGGCATATTTTGGCCGTAGGTCGCGCAGGCGATTGTAAATGTCACAGAAAACGTCTCGAGTAGTAGTCAGATCAAATTTTCGATTTCCCGTTGAACCACGTAAGTCGGATTGGATTCTTACACCAGGCATCACTGAGAAGGGGCCACTTAACAGCCATGAATAATCGAGAACGATTTATTTCAAAGTTTGCGTCAAAGGCATCAAATCCAGTCGCCATCAGCGATGAAAAAAAAAAGCAGCTATCATGTAAATAAACCCCTGTGTTAGTGGTCAACCATTTTGGCGGTGATGACACCAAGTTCAAACGAGGACAAGACTGAGCAAAACGTGTGGTAATAACAATGTCAATGAACATATCAAGGTCAACGACAGCATTGACTAAAAGGAAAAAACGGTGTCATAATCCTTCGCGGTAATATTTGAACGTTCAAGACTTTGGATCCAATCAGATCAAGAATCCAAGAGAAACAGGGGGCCTAAAGCTAGATGAGGAAGCGCTCAAGAAGGATCGTGACGCAAATGCGCCGCCCCTTGCCGTTCTCGATCTGTCAACTGCGCAGCCGAAAGATTCAACATATAGATTAGAAAGAAATTCAATACAGTATGCCCCAAAATCTACCTCCCTATCTACGTCCTGACATTGGCATTGTGTATTCACAGGAACCAGTGAACTTTTCCACCAGGGCAATTTGTGAGGAACCCCAGCAAGGGCACCCATTACTATCCCCAGCCTACCTCTACGGTCCTTCATGTTCTCTTCATTGTTGTCCGCCTTGTAATCAACCTAAGCCAACACGCTTCTCTAACAAATGTAGCAGACGAACAGGACCACACCATGCTTACCCATTTTCATCCGCCCGCCTCTCAAGCTTCGACAGATCACACCACTCTGCCATCACTCACAACCAATACAGTCCATCACCACTTCCACCTCCCAGTACTCAGCACTCACCATGTCTCAGAAGTTTTGGCCTCAGATAGAAATGGAGGCCCGGCGCTACAGGGCAGGCCGTCAGCTGAATCTATATTCGTACACCCCCGTTGATCCCCACAGAACCACAAAGTACTTGCCGAATAATTTGCCGGATAACCTCACGCCTGGTTGGGTTCGTGGCTTTAATCCAAGAAAGCGACCACCAACTCCAGATCTTATCCTTAAAGTATTCGAGAGCCTATCATTAGGCATCAATAAGTGAAATCAGATCACCGCATGCAGGATTGTGACGAATTTCGAGAAGCACCACGACCCGAAAGTTCAGGGTCCTCGCGAGGGTCAGCAGTGGCCCGACCTCGTTGTCTGCAAGGCGTTTGACCCCCATTCTACCCAATCCTGGAGGGTCGTGGTGTGGACAAGGCAGCGGAGGCGGCGCTCAGCAGAGAGGCTGGGGCCTATCGATACCTCTTCTCAAACAACATGACCGGCTTCCCTCACCCAACGCCCGTATTCTATGGTACATATGTCGCAGTGTTTGACCTTGGACTTGAAGACGATAACCTCATCGACTTTGGACTTGAGGACAAGCACCAAGCCTACAGGTGCGTTCCGGTCATTCTCATGGAACATGTCTTCTCAATGGAAAATCTATGTACCCGTCATGACACTACGCATGAGCTCGTCCCCCGCAACCTGCGCCCCATCTTTCACTATGATGCTAAAGGTAGTCCGGTCACCCTCTCCCTTCACAAGCAGAACAGAAAGGAGTTCATGGGACAAGTGCTCGATGGCTTGGTCAAGATGTTGCGCGTGGGCTTGGAGTTCGGGGCCATTGAGGCCCGCCAGATTATGATTACCATCAAAAATGGCCAACACGACCTGGAGGTACCCCGAGCGGTGGTTTTAGACTATACCATGAGCGATATATAGTGTATGACGCGTGTCGGCAAAACTGTCGAAAGACATCGTCTCTACGACCTGCAAAAGCTCCTGAAGCCCGTCCACCCAATGCAGATTTTTGACTTCGAGGAGTTACACAGTACTATCAGATTTTAGCCTTCGTCGTACTGCTACGAGACGAAGAACGATGATGAGGCGAGAGAGGCCGAATGGGCCCGTGACTCCGAAGGGGTTCGCATTAGGGATGACAACGGTCGGCTTCGCCACAAGACCGAGGTCGAGTATGATGAATGGCTCGTGGAGACTTTCGGCCTGTTTGAGGAGGGGAGATACTCAGTCTATAAGACTCTATACCTGATACAAGAGGCAGAGGAGAGGGCGAGGGAGGCAGAGGTGAAGGAGGCATTCACGGTGGAGAAGGCGTTACGGGACTGGTTGAGGGACCCCGAGAAGGAAGCCGAGGAGGCAGCAGAGTGGGCCGTTGTGAAGGAGACATAAATGGAGCTGGCGATGGATGCAGTGGTTACTGCGGCCAAGAGAGCGTTCAAAGACGCGCACGCTGAGTGGTATGAGGAGAAAGAGAGGCAGGAGCAGAAGGGTGGACAGATCGAGGATGTTGCCATTGATGTCACGGACGACGCCACCGCCGATGATAACAACACCGACGACAACAACACCGACGACAACGACGACGACGATGACGACGATGACGACGACGATGACGATGAGACTGACTACTCCCGCCAGTTCTTCGGGGTTCACGAGGCTAGAGAGGTTAGAGAGGCTGTGGCAATTCAAAAAGCGCAAGAGCTTCGCGACCTTAAGGACGCTCTGAGAAATCTGCGGGCTGAAGAGGCCGAAGGCTCACGAGACGTTCCTGACGTCGAGCGGGTTCGAGACGCTCTGAAAGTAGTAAGGGCTCAAAGACATCGAGAGGCCAAAGAACATAGACCAGAAAGGTGAAGTGTGATACTTGATCAGAATCATAGCGAAGCATGATACTCCATTCATTGACATCGTGATCCCCTGCGTCGCCCACCGCAGCATCATCGTGATCCACTGAGAGTGAATAGAAGACCGGTCCTTCGCTACAAAAGCGAGTTTGCAGCAAGGTTTCAAAGCAAAACAAATGGAAAACGCAAAGTGCCCGCCCAGGAGGAGGAAGATGGGTTGCTCCTTGAGTTGGTAAATGCTTGATAGCCTAACTCACAGGTGCGCTATGTATGTATGAGTCTGCGAGACGATGATTCTCAAAGACGGCCAGCATGGCACTATGAGTGGCGTTGGCAGGAGACGGTGCGTCTTGGGATAAGATGTGAGAAGGGTTGAGGCGGGAGGATTTAGTGAAAGTGACAATAGTGGATGCAGGTGTGTTTGGGGTGAGAGTTGCATCCCGGCTTACAGCCTATGAGATCATAACATGTATCGAACAGTAGATGTTTATTATCGAGTAGCCTTTATGCATATCTATGCGATACCAGAATCAGAACAATCCTGATCGAGACGTATTCGCCGAAGTTTGTGGTGCGAAGGTGGGTGTCGCGAGCCTGTGACGGTATTATGCAAGGTGACCTTTTCCAACGCCCTGTGAATGGCCCTCTCCATATCCTGCCCTAAAGAATCTTTGTCTTCAAGGTTGCGTAGAAGGGTGAGAACTTGAGGAATTATGACGTCCAGCATTGCGTCCTGTCGTTGACCTTGCCGACGAGCTTCCTAGTCAGGGGCGGGCGGCGGGCTTTGGAGTCCTTGTTCTTGGGGATCAGGCTGAGAGGTGACTGGTAGAAGGCTGGGCGTTCTTCGACCGGTGCCTCCAGTACCTTGCAGCTGAAGATTTGAGACTCTCGATCGGGACCAACGCGTATGATTTTCTCGATTTGAACTTTGGCTTGAGTCTTGGCGAAGTCGGCCTTGGGGTCGAAGTTGCGCACGCCTCGAGGTGAATGGTATGCGGGCGTGCCATATGGGCGTACCGGCTCGTATGGAAATAGGGTCAGCTTTTTGCCAACAGTATACATTGCCTCAGGCTTATCCCAGGTTGCAAGCTCAAGAAATCCCTCCATGATGAAGTGCTATGCTGCGTTGTCGATTGTGGTTTGGTAGGCGAAAAGAGGATGGTAAGATGAAGAACAGAGGATGCCTAGAAAGGTTTTGGAGAGAGATGCATGGATTTTGAAGAGAGATTGGAAAGATGTAGAAGCGGCTGCGCAAGAGCGGTTTTTACGGTTTGGGAGTACCTGGAGTGCCGAAGAGAAAACGGAGAAAAAAATCTAATGAGCGGAAAGTCTGATTTTGACCATGGGCACAGCGCCTCTCGTTGTCTTGCTCAGCCTGGAAACCTTTACGGAAGGAACAGTACATGCATCTTTCCTTAAAGGTTCTGTGACTTTTGGATCACATACCTCTACCTTGAGCGGCCGCTTAGGTACGTCAAAACCCAACTCGTTTACTCTTCCCTTGACTCTGTTTGATCTCATCACTTTCCATTACTAAATCTGAGGATTTTTCAGAAGCAGCAAGAGACCATCGCGGTTCTGTCCGCCCCCCTACCCCTTCCAAACCCCTTCCCAATCCCTACTCAACTAGCTATCGAGGGGTAATTCGATCGCTATCAACTCCTTCCTGACATCATCGGCCTAATCTCACAACCAGCCCGTCTTGCGAAATCGCCAACCTGCCCTCAGACTCCTCGTGGACCGCCGACCTCGGTAGCCCAGCATGTCCGAGAAATTCAAGTCCAGCATCGAACTGGAAGTCGCCCGTTATTACCCGACGCAGCGTCTCAACCTCTATTCCTATAAACCGGTCGATCCTTACGGCGTCAAGGGTTACATTCCAAACCCACTCCCAGCTGACCTTCCCCCTGGCTGGGTTCGGGGCTTCGACCCGACCAAATTGCTGCCAACTCCCGACATTATCCTCGAGATCGTAAGACCGCTATCAGCCGGTAAAAAGAAAACGGCTCAGATCACTGTCTGCAAGACACTGCAGCATCTCCGCAGCCACGAGTCTAGCGTCCACGGTCCCCGTAAGGGCGGCATTTGGCCAGAATTGATCGTTTGCAAGTCCTTTGACGCCGTATTCTTCCCACCTTTTCCCGGTTGCAGCGCAGACAAGATGGCCGAGAAAGCCCTCAGTCGGGAGAATGGCGCCTATCGACACCTGTACGCCAAGAGCTTCACCGGTTTCCCGCATATCACGCCGGAGTTCTACGGATCCTATGTGGCAGTATTCGACCTCGGCCTCGACGGAAAAAAGCAAAGGGTGTATAGATGTGCTTCGGTTATCCTTATGGAATACGTCGATGGTCTGTCCGTCGAATCACTGTGTCGACGCCATCCTGAGACTCGAGATTTGATCCCTCGCAATACGACCCATGTCTTCCATCAGAATACAAACGGCCGACGCATCTCGCTTTCGCTGCACAAAGAGACCAGGCAGGAAATTGTGAGGCAACTGATTGAAGAGTGAATACACTGGTTGCACCAGGGGATGGAATTTGGCAATGTCGACCCAGACCAAGCCCTTATCACCATGCGCCATGACCAATATGACCTGGTCCAACCGCGCCTCGTGATCCTGGATTACACCCACACTCATGTCTGGTGCATGACAAAAACCGGCAAGACTAACCCAAGGCACCCCATCACCGAGTTTCAGAAGCTTCCCAGCCCGACACATCCTTCCGAGCTCTTCGACACGGACTGGTTTAGCCACTGGATTGGATGGTGGCCGTCGTCGTTCTGTCACAAAGCCCAAAGCGAAGACGAGGAGATGGAGCTGGAGTATGCGAGGGATTCGAACGGTGATCTGGTCAAGGACGAGAATGGCCGGTTTCTGTGCAGAAACGAAGTCGAGTTTGAGGTTTGGATGTTGAAGGTGTGGGGTCCCCGTGAGGAAGGAAGGTACTCCGTCAGGGAGACACTCAACCGGATTCGGGATGATGAGAAGAAGAAGACGAAAGAAAAGGTCGTTGCTGCAGAGACGGAAGCCGCGGCGGAAACTGATGCGCTAATGCTGGCGCTGGGCCTGAGAAATCCCAAATCTGACATCGACGCAGACGACAAGGACCGGTCGAGGAGCCAGTGAGGCCGAACAAGCAGTCGGTGAAACTGGGAAGGCGGCTTCGGAGACTCGCAAAGTCGATCAACCTGATGAACGACCATCACCTCGAATAATGAGGAGGTTTTCCAAAAGACTCTGGAGGCGAAGATTTATTCGAGTTGGACAGTGTCGAATACTACTCTGGGGGCGGAGACGGTGAGGGAGGGCAGAGACGGAGACGCATGACGAGGTACCCTCCTAGGTAGACTGAAAGGGCCGGTCTTGGCCGCCGTCTCCGAAGCTGCGGGGCCGGAGTGCGCCGCTCGTTCGGACAAAATGATCAAAGCTAAACAAACGATCAAGGTACAACAGGAATTGACAATACATACGGGTCTCAAGTTACCTTTCCCCGTGTGGCTTTCTGAAGATCCATTGCCCGGCTTTACAAGGGGACGGAGGTGTTCATTGTCACAGTCTTGGCGTCGAAACAATCACGCTCGAAGCCTGATCCCGGCCAGGCACGAGACAATAGCAGCCTCTCGAAGTTAGGTATCTCGTCGGCCGACCTCTCCCGTCCGATGTTCATGCAATTTCCAGCTCCGGGCCGAGGGTGCAGCCGCGTGCAGCCCATGACAACGGTGGCCTTGCTTGGTTGTGCGGTGCAGAGGGAGAGGCGGCCGGCGCGCATTTAGAGTTTTCTCATGTTGTGACGTGCGTAGGACGGGAGGGGGCGTTCATGCACGGCCACATTGGATTGTTTTCAGTTTCGACGTTGTTTTTTGTGTAAGCTGGCGAGTGTTGGTTGCCCGGGAAGATGTATGCATGCTGATCGGATTCCTTAGTATGGATTGTAGGGGTTGCATCTGTACTTTGAAGCTGTCACGAGAAGAGCGGGTTTGGGAAATGTGGTCGACGATGTACACTCTAGAGTCGTTGGAATCAAGGATGGGCGGCTTGAGGACGGGGGTTTCAGCGGTGGGGGATGACGTCGTTTGGCGGCGTCGTTTGCCGGTGTGACAGGCTGCTCCTGGTATATTTGAGCTTGATATAGGTATGTTGGCAGTACTGCAAATGTGACTGCGAATACCACAGGCCTAGTAGTGAAGACTGGGACGACGACGACGTTGAAGGATGATTGAGGCTGAAAATGGGATCTCCACACGCTACTGCGCATTGGCGAGACAGACCGAGTGCCCGTTGAAAGAAGCCCAGGACAGACTTGGGCATTCTTGGGGGATCTTCGGCTGTCGAGAGGGCGAGATGCAGCAAAGCGGGATACCGCTAGACCGAGAGCGGTGTGAGCTGAGCTGGGCTGGTTGTGGGCTTCCATTTGCTGGGAATGCGGATTCTGGCGAATCAGAACGAGGCACGGGCGGCTGCTTGCATTTTTTGCGGTGCATTCTGCGAGATGCGTTTCCCCCGCTTGTCTTAGCCCAGGCACACGATTTGATGCCTTTTGAGTTGGCGAGGTGGTTGGGGTTTAGCGCCGCTGTGCGAATAAGGGTCTTTCGCAGGAAGGACTTGAGTTGAAAGAGTTTTCTTCCCCCTCACTAGGCCACGTTCAGAGAATTGAGTTGTCAATCCGAACATGCTCTCTTCTATTGAGATGGGGTTTGACCCCTATCTATTAGTCTGGCCTCTGGAGTCTCGACGAGTCAACTTCCTGACCATTCATGGATATCTTATCAACGGAGCAAGACTCGAAAGAGAACAACTGTCAACATCTCTGCTTGAGGGAAAACTCGTCAGGTCAGGAGGTTTTCCCAAACCGATAAAGTCCCTTTTGGACGCGGAATTAAATGAAGGCTCATGGGTTGCGTAGAGTGAGTGCGGATTCAGGCTTTGATGAGTTGCTCGTGTTAGTGTGCGGCAAGGAGCGTATGGTGGGACGCGCCTGAGCCGACCCCATGCAAGGCGAAATAAATCAAACGGGGTCCTGCCTCGGGTCGCAGAGAGAGCATTGCGGTCGGGTCTGGCCCGGTAGGTAAGAACCGAATGCTGTGTCTTCCGTCTTGTGTTAGTGCGTTGGGCTAAAAGTTGAGGCTGGACTGGAGGTGGTCGAGTTGGGATGGCAGTCAAATGTGTTGGAAAGACAGCAGAGAGGAAATGGCAAGGCATAGAGATGAGGCGCCGAGGTGGCTGACCACCGCCGAGAGAGGCGCGGCCGAAGCCGGGGAAGGACAGGCGCAGCAACGGCGAAGGCAAGCAGGTGGCTTGAGAAGGATGAACCGGGGTTTCTTCAGGATGAGGTGGGTGGTGACACTGGATTCCCGTCGCCTTTCGATCTGCGAGACGCAGAATTGATTGTACGAGTGGCTCGCACAGGTGCAACACACTTAGGCACTCCACGACAATTGAATTGTCGACGGACTCCTCGCCTTCTCGTACCCGGTCGCATCGATGATGTGCTATCAGAAGAGTTTTGTTTATTGAATATACAGAGCACTTTGTATGTATGTAGGTGAGTAAGTAGGTAAGGTAGGTAATCAGCGCGTTCGAGGGACCTGCACGTCTTGTCACATTGTCTTGATTGGCCGGGACGCCTGCACGGCACACATCCGCCCCGCTAAAGCTGCATCTGGGCAATTGAGACGATGCTTGATACCTGATACCTCAATCATGATTCGACAGGTAGACCTGCGTACGCTCTCTTACCTTAGTCTCCCGTCTGCTGAGGTGCCGTGCGTGCGTTGGTTAGGCAGCGCAGCCTGTTAGACGCAAGTCCCAACCTCCCACTCCAGGCGAGCAGCCCATACCAGACCATACCACACCACCTTGGCCCGATCGCTCTAAGCGCGCTACTGCTGTCTCTCGTCCTCTGCGGAACCCGTCTCACCTCGCTCTCAGAGACAAGAAACAGAGACAGAACACAGACAAGGCGACCCGACCGACAGGCTGCGACCTTACCTTACCTTGGAGCGCATACCACTGGCTGCCCACCCCTCCTGCCCTTCCCCTCCAAAAAAGTCTCCATCCCGTCGCTGGTTTACTTACTCGCACCAAAACCGCCTTTGCTCCAAACACCAACCGCACCACCAACAACAATACCCCCGCGACGACGCCCGACGAAGAACAAGCGACCGCAAACGACATAGCCGACTACCACGAGTCGATTGAACCCGACCGACATGACCACGGTCTGAGGCCCACCGCCGCCCACTGCAGCAGCCCACACCACCCCTGCCATGTGCCGCGTACCCATCCCATCCCAACCCATCCATCAACACCTTACCACGACGGGACTGGCCCTGCCAACGGCAACGCTATCTGCTGCTGGTAACCCGAACTGGAACCACGACATTGGCACTGTACCTACCTGGGCATACCATGAGTAGTGGTAGCTCGCGCCAGCGCTCTGCGACCAGATCTGATACCCACGACCGCAATTCGAGTCCCTTTCCCAGCGTCCCACGATCCAGAGACGAGATTCACAACCTCGACGGCCTCGTCTTCACAAATCTGCCCTCCAACTACCAGCCCTCCACCCCCAAACTTCCGCCGCCCTCACTGCACGCGAAGGCTTCCGATTCCAGCTTCCTCTCCCCCGGCGGTGCTCGCCCAAGAGCCGCCACCGCGAGCTCAATCCCCACGAGCCTCCCGACCACTCCTCTCCTCCTCGGCCCCGACGCCGCGAGGCCAGCTACCCGAGCTGGCCCGCCTCCGAAACCACAAGCCATGTATCAAAACAACCAACGACATGTCTCCGCCGCCGACTCCTCGAGGCCCTTCCAGGTCCCTCCGCCGCCGCCGCCCATGTCACCACCCGTCCAGGGCCAGATGAGCAACATGATGTCCATACCTCCTCCCCCGCCGCGCTTTCCTTCTGCTCCCGGTGCCACGGGCGGCGGCGGCATGATGCTCCCTCCGCCCCCCGGTCCGCCCCCGGGGAGTGCGATGGCAGGCCAGGCGCCGTGGCACGGCGCCTTTGGACGAATGTACGACGGCCGCAACGGCTTCAATGTGCCCCCTCCCCCGCCAGGACAACACCAGGCCTACAATCCGAAGCTGCATGCCCAGGTTGCGACCGGCACGACACTATCGATCCCGCCCCCGCCTCCGCCGAATGACCATGGCAGCGGCATGTCTGCGACCTACATACCGCAAGGCGATACCTATGGCGAAGGAGTTGGAATACCTGGCCTGGGCGGCTTTGACGAGACATCCACCTTCTCTGCAACGTCGCAAAGCTCGTGGCCCACGAATAGCCAGACCAGCGCTGACACAACCATGACAACACCCCAGGACGACATTACTGGACGAGACAGGATGTACGCCCAGGCTATGCACACTCGAGGGCTGTCGCAACAGTCTAACGCCACCACCTGGAGTATTCACCCGGATTTGGCTGCGCAGTGGCCGCTGGACAAGGTGCTGCTGTTTCTCGCATCCAACCAATTCTCAAAGGACTGGCAGGAGACGTTCAAGGGCCTCAACATCCACGGAACCCACTTCCTCGAGCTCGGGAGCGGCCTAGGAGGACGAGGGAACTTTGGCATGATGCACCAACAGGTGTACCCGAGACTGGCAGTCGAGTGCACCAACAGTGGGACGGGATGGGACCAGCCACGAGAGCGAGAGGAAGGAAAGAGAATGCGACGGCTCATTCGCAACATCGTCAAGGGTCTGCCGGCTGACCCATCGAAAGTATCTTCGCACGGGAGGAAGGAGTCTGTGAACCACGGCAACAACCTGCCCAGCGCAGGGACCGATGGCGCAGACTCTCCCAACGTGAGTATGATCGTTCGTCCGAGTGAACTCTCGAAGACTGATGACCGGCAGACGCCGATCAAGGCTCCTGGTCCTGGTTTTGGCGGACGACGGTTCTCGCAGACCAGGTCTACTACTATGCCTACCCTCAACAGCACAATGAGCTCAGACTCTAACCACAGGAACATCCTGAAGCAAATCGACATTGACGGCAGTCGGCGTCACAGCCCGAACGCCAGCGAGCCCGGCGACAGCTTCCGCCCGCCGCCTCTACGAACCGACAGCCCCAATGGGAGTCCAAACCCGCAGAGCGCATCCCTCTTTCCTTCGTCGGCAGGCAACCTTTCAGCCTCGCCGCACTCAGCCAAATTTGGGCATCGGTCACGGAACAGCACGGACTCCCTGTCCTCCAACGCTGCCATCTATGGTTCTGGAATCCCCCCCGAGGCCAGCCAGATGTTGCGCAGTGGTATGAACATCGCGGACATGATCCAGGCCACTCGCGGTAATGCAGAGAGTCGGCGACTGGGTCAGGATGGCGGGCGCCCATCGCCTCAGGAGTCCAATGGTGATCGCTCGGCTGGCACCGAACCCCCATCATCTGCAAAGGACGGAAAGAGCTTTCTCAGCTTCTTATCTAGGAAGAAGAAGCAAAAGGAAGACGGTGCCTTCCCCAGCCCCGACGATGTGGAGTCACCGACCTCACCAGCTCTCAACTTCAAGTCTCACTCATTCGGCTCTCGATTCGGCAACAACAGTGAGACATCGCTGGATCTCCTGCATGAGAAGGACAAGTCGAGACGTTCTGGCCCTGGCAGAACATATGTGTTGGCTACCATGGACGGTTACAACTACCGCATGTGCGACATCACGGAAGCCGAATCGGCAACAGATCTTCGACAGATTGTTTGCAGTAGCCTTGGTTTGATGGACGCTTTGAATTCTCAAATATATTTGACCGAGCTTGGCAAATTTGACCACGACCAGCCGCTCGACGATCAGAAGTTGACGACACAACGCAAGGTCAGAGCTGATGCTACAGGGTCTTTGAAGTTCTTCATCCGTCCTTCCGGTTACATGCCCCAAGGCTCGGGCCAGGCTAATGGCGCTCCAGCACACACGTCCCTCGACGAGGAAGCGTACAACCGTTTGAATGGCTTGTCGAGGACGAGATCCAGCTCGTCACCGCCGACATCAAGGCAAAACACACTGACCGGTGAGAGAGTTGATGACAAGATGCTCGCACAGGAAGCAAGTGAATATCGCGCCGAGATGGAACGCAAGCAGCGCGAATACCTCGAGAAGAGAAGACAAGCAGCCATGAAGGACGGAAGAAACGCGCCGGAAGGCGTCTCCACCCCATACGGAATTCACGGACGCACAGTCGACTTTGATCAGCCCCGGCAATCGCCATATGAGGACAAGAAGCCGGAAGTACTGTTCCCTGTGCGGAAGCCACCTGCACCGCCAAGCGACCCGTCTGCTACTCTTCTCAAGGCAAACTCTTTAAGCAGAAAGACTGGACACGCCATGCGGTCATCCGACGGCAGCATTTCGTCGGCACCGCGACGACCATCCACCTTGTTTGAGGATATGGAGCTTCCCGGACAAAACCCGGACAAAAAGAAGAAGACAAACAGCCAACCTGTTGGTGGCATTGGTGCAGCCCTCGTGGGCATGGGCAGAGGCCTTGGGGCGGTTGGCCACTCGAACAACCGCAGGTCCAAGTCGCCCAAGCGAGTGTCGTCGCACTCTAACATGAGCGGCGATTACTCAGATCGAGGTAAGGGAGCAATGTCGTCGGTTGACTTTGGCAAGTCCTGCTCGGATCAAGGTAGTCCTCGCACGGCGTCTGGCTCACCTGGCTCTCTCACATGGAGCCGTGGAAATCTGCCCTTCGTCGTGCCTGACTACTCTCCCGGCGGGACTCCGCTGTCAAGGAAGAGGTCTCAAAATGGTACGGTCGCTAAAATCAAATCAACAGCACACCGGGTACATTCGCGTGAAATAAGCCCCAGTTCCCTCAACCCGCCCCAAATCCCCCCGACTGAACAACCCCAGCCCCCTCGCCGCAAATCACATGGGCCAGACTTTGATTTCCTCGATACGGATGTCAGCTTTGACAAGCCTCCTGCACAGCGTGATGACGACTCTGGTGACGATTCTGATGATGGCTTGTTTGCCGTTCCTCTGACCAGCCAGCAAAAGAAGCCGACCAAGATTACGCGCATCTTCGATGGCGATGATTCGCCTGATGAGGCCAACGACAAACGACCGACCCTGACTGTGAACACTGCCAAGTCGAAGAAGAAGGTTTCTGTATCATTCAACTCACCCAAGTCGTTCGGCGGTTCGAGTAAAGAGGGTGAAGAAGACGAGGCTCTCATGAGTGCTCGCAGCGGCAAGAGCTCACGCAGGACGCCCAACACACCTGGTTCAGAGGGATGGGAGTCGGAAGACAGCAAGCTTAGCCGAAGAAAGTCGTTTGTGGAGAAGGACGTCTGGGCCAACCGTCCCACCACCGACGCCCTTATCAACAACCTCGACGACTTCTTCCCGAACTTGGATCTTGACCAGCCGGTACTCGAAGAAGGAGGAGCGGATGCCTCGCCTCCGTCTCCGATTGCTGAGTCCGAGGAGAAGGAAGCTGCCCCTGGACCCTCGGCGCTCCCGCAGTCTCCACCGCCAAGCTTGCGCGTGGCTATGGGCCAGGCCAACCGGTCATTCTACAACGAGAGCGATACACTTGGCTCGGATGAGTCTACTCTCAAGGCACTGGAGCGTCCAGCTTCCGTGGCTTCGGTCGCTCAACGCAGCGTGAGACGTTCCGGAGGTCTCGGCCGTATGAAGTCCATCCGTGAAGTTGCTCGTGGTGCTCATGAGGCCAACAAGCGGTTTACTACCACAACAACACAACAGGGCCAGAATGGCCAGAACACATCGGCACTGATGAGGAGGAAGAGCACAAAGATGTTCAACGCCAACATTGTGCAGATCCGGCCCGATCAACGAGGCAGCATGGTCATGCCGCAGATCCCTCAGGACACGTTGCCCAAGCGCCAGACTACATTCCGTTGGTTCAAGGGTCAGCTTATTGGCAAGGGCACCTACGGCCGTGTCTACCTCGGTATGAATGCTACGACTGGAGAGTTCTTGGCCGTCAAGGAAGTCGAGGTCAACCCGAAGGCGGCGCAGGGCGACAAGGCAAAGATGCGGGAGTTAGTGGCTGCTCTCGACCAGGAAATCGAGACGATGCAGCATCTCGACCACGTCAACATCGTCCAGTACCTTGGTTGCGAGCGTAAGGAGACATCTATCAGCATCTTCCTCGAGTATATTTCCGGTGGCAGTATCGGATCCTGCCTGCGGAAGCACGGCAAGTTTGAGGAATCGGTCGTCTCGTCGCTTACCAGGCAGATGCTGTCTGGTCTTGCGTACCTCCATAGAGAGGGTATCTTGCATCGTGATCTCAAGGCCGACAACATCTTGCTGGATCTCGATGGCACCTGCAAGATCTCCGACTTTGGTATCTCCAAGAAGACGGACAACATCTACGGCAATGACAAGTCCAACTCGATGCAGGGATCCGTGTTTTGGATGGCGCCTGAGGTCATCCGCTCCGAGGGCAAGGGATACAGCGCCAAGGTCGATATCTGGAGTTTGGGATGCGTCGTGCTAGAGATGTTTGCCGGTCGACGACCTTGGTCCAAGGAGGAAGCTGTTGGCGCCATCTACAAGATTGCAAACGGAGAGACGCCGCCTATCCCAGATGAGGTCCGTGAAACCATCAGTCCGCTGGCGATTGCCTTTATGCTGGACTGTTTCACTGTGTAAGTGCTTTGCGACTTGTACTGTCACCATACCAGACTAACAAACGATAGAAACCCGCTGGAGCGACCTACCGCAGACGTGCTGCTCTCGCAGCACCCCTTCTGCGAGCTGGATCCAAACTACAACTTTTTCGATACTGGGCTGTACACCAAGATTCGCGGCAAAGACGTCTAGTTGACGGGGAGAGCGCGAGGGGAACTCAGTACCCGATGGTGAAAACGAAGAGGAGGGAAAACATTGAAAAGAAGGGGGAGACGTGGCTTGGGCTACGTGGTAACGATGAAACTTTTGTTCTTGTTGTATGCAAAACACTGGACGCTCGTTGTTGCAGCGATGGCGCATGGGAAGGGTCTTGGGGACTTTTGCTCTTTTTGCGGAGCGCTTTTTGGGGCTTTGCTTGGTTGTATTTGGGATGGAGAAGTATGGTGGATGTGCGCCGAGGCAGGGGGAGGAGGGAGGTATATATCGAGGCGGGTAATATATTGATGGAGTTGGTTGGCGCAATGACGTACCTTGTGATGGTGTTGTGTGTATGTCTCGTGTAAGCCGAGGGTGGGATGGAGCGGCCAGCGGCAGTTGAGCCAGCCCGCCCACACGGAAATCTCTGACTAGAAGATGCGATAAAAAGACGAAACGGACTAATCTTTTCTCGGGGCTAACGACGAAATGGGAGCTCTTGGTGGACCGATCTCATGGGTTTGCACCATGATTCCATGCTCTCTTGTTGAGGGCGAGTGGAGGTTCAACTCTGGTCATGGTCATGGCGCGTCGTTCATGACGATTGTGAAGCATGATTGTGAAGCATTAGGATCGTATACTTGGCGAGAAACAATGGACGACGAAGCGGTTGTCGGGATGTCAAGGGTTGATGGATTGTCGTGGTGATGCGGGTGATTTTGTGTTTGGTTTAAGGGATTGTTTGGCTGAGCAGGAACCGATCGAGCATTAAGACTAATTTGCTGAAGATTTTCGGGAGCAGAAGGAGATCATGTGGGATTTTATACGTTTGAAACTAGGGTATTTTGTGAGATCACAAAGATTGTGCGTTGAGGGCCTGCGGTCAAGGGGTTGGGTTGGGTTGGGTGGTAGGGTAAGTTGGTTGGGTTGAGATTCTCGAGAAGCTCATAGCTACTCAGGTAAATATCAATGTTTCCTACCACTTTTTGTTCAACACGCTTAGAGAGGGGTCATATATACGGAGGAAAACAAGTATGGGTGGCGGTGGTGGAACGTTTCGTGGATTTGGTTTTTGTCATGGCTATTGCCAAGTTACTTGTCAGGCTTAGGTTGAAGATTACAGTCCACCACGCTTATTGTCGATACTTTGATTCTTGTTGGGTCTACCATTCGAAGTTTCTATACGGACAGGGCGAAAGCCAGTCACTGGTGTCAGGTGGGATTTCTCCTCGAAAAGGGATCGATGATCGGGACGGCTGATTACTTGATGGCATTTACGGACTGGTTATTTCAGGACCTTGCGGAGTGTACATCCTCCAAGCAGCACAAAGACGAATGACATGTCTATGCAAGGCTTTGCCTTGGATTGAGCCACCCAGCTAAGCTCATGTCAAGGTGCGAGATACCTGAGCGATACGGAATTGCTCCGGGTGGTTTTAGGACGTGGAAAAGTAGCAGAATACGAAGGCAGAAAGGAAGGAAAGCGGCGGACTCGAACGGGGTCGTTTCCGTGATGTGCGAGAGCTGGTTGGTTCGGGCTTGTGGACGGAAACTCCACGCTATGGTTCATCTTCACCGATCACACAAACCTCGAATTGCTGTTGAGAAGGCATTGCTCTAAAGGTAAACACCTGTATCATATATCTCGTTACATGTGCGATCTGCGAAGTTTTGTATGCTCTTGGGGAAAGGAGCCAGCTGATTGGGATAGACATTGTGTAAAGTGATGAGCGAACGGGGAGGTATATAAAGGTGTCGCGACTCAATTGCCAGCCAAGAATGCTTCACCACTGCAATCTACAAGTACCCTCTCCAGGTGTGTATGTTCACAAGCAGATATGCGAGCTATGGTGCTTTCAGCCTGGTCTACTTGGACTTTCTCATAACTTCACTGGAGGGTTTCGGTCGTGTCGTGGGCGCTGTAGTTTGAATACCTTGGGGTATGGGGGAAATACCTTGCGGAGAAAGAAAGATGGGGGTTTGAAGCGGTGCCCTCCGAATGAGGAGGTTTATTCCCTCTCCTTCGGGCCGAGTATTATTAACAGCTCCGGGTCTTGAGGGAAATCCGTGAACACCTGAATCACATTGCCCGTGCTATTCAAGATACTAGCCAGGGGATACTTTATATTCATCACTGTTCTGCGGGGGCTTGGGTCTCAGATTTGCACATCGTGCAGTTCACCTCTCGGACTCGATGGAGCCAGGGGGCGGGGCTTTGGGTGAGCGAAGTCCGGGTCGGGAAGACCTCCGTTATATTTAGCTGTTTCTTGGCGATCATTCGTATTGTTTATGACGATCACTGTTTGAGGAAGCAAAAGTTCCGGGACCGAAAATGTGCTGGATGAACGCAGTATTTTTTAAGGGGAGGTGTTCCCTTTTGTGAGTTTTGTGTCTAAGATACACATCAACCACCATGCCGAATCCTTCCTCCACTCTAAGTCCTGCCAGCAATCCCAATTGCGCAGGTCAAAACACACTGTTCCTCCATGAGAAGAAATGACACCCTCAGAGTCGACCAAACACTCCCAAGTTGTCGATGGACAGCGACAACAGTGTCATTAGTCCGTGGATCGGTTTGACCACGCCTTGAACCGTTTGCCCAAGTCGGACTCTGAAGCCTTCTGCCTCAGGCCTCGCAGCGTCTTAAAGCGATCCTTCTTCTTCTTGCCCTTGGGCTGGTCATGATCATCGTCGTCGTCCTTGGGGGGCGGTTTCTTCGTCGACGACTCTCCTTTAGAAGAGGAATCCGGCTTGGTGCCGGGCACAAGCTCGACGGTAATGGCGAAAGTCGCCCTGTGATTAGCATTAAGATGCTCCACGGCAGGACCTTGCTTCCAGATGGCGCGCCACATGTTGGTATGGAAGGGCTGCAGAGCATCCTTCTGCTTTCCATACTCCACCCCGTGGACGATGTCCGGCCACTCGCGGTCGCCCTTCTGTCCGTGGAACTTTGTGTACTGAGGCCAGAGCTTGGTCAGGAGAATGCTTTTGTCGTTCTTCTGGTGAGCGTGCCCCAGCGAATCTTTACCCCACTTCTCCGCTTGGTCTTCTGGAATGATGTGATAGGAGAGGTTGCTGGGCGCGGGCTGCTGCGCAGAAAACTGGAAAAGAGGAACGCCCTTGAATCTGCGACCACCGCAAGACCAAACTTCGTCTGCATGACCAAAGCTGGTGGCTGACGGAGCCATTGCATCCGCTGCGCCCTGAAAAGCTCCCCAGAGAAAGCTCCTCAAAGGACTGAAGGCGGTAAAAATGACGCCAATCACGGGAATGGACATCTGGTTGGTATTCCGACGAGCCTCGAGGGCATTGAAGGGTCTGTTGTTGAACTGGCTGGTGAAACTCTCTGTGGTGCATGACGTGCCGTGGTAGACATAGTTGTGTCCTGCAGTGGCAGGAGTCCATCGCGAATCAAGGTTCATGGGGTCGTGGGCCAGCGCACCAGAATCGGGTCCTTTCTGACTGAGGCGTCTTGTCACTGGATTATCGAGCCAAGCCTGCACGAGGGTCGGACCTCTCAACGTCACTTGCTCGACAGGGGAAGAAGGAATATCGAGAAGAGAGGTGGTGGGAATCTGTTGTCGTCGGCTATCGTCGCCAGCACCATCGAGTTGTCCCATGCCGTATCGACCCTATGTATTTATCCATGTCAGTGAGGGAGGGAGATGAAGGAAAGGGAAGGTAGACGAAGTGGAGGAGCAAGGCTTCTTTCAAGGGAAGTAGAGCATTGGAACTCACATGTTTCGGGGAAGTTCCGACTGACGTCGCAGCCGACGAGGACTGGCCATATGCCGATGGGTCAGAGCTCACCGACGACTGGGTGAATTGAGTCGGAGTAGAGGCGAGGAACGTCTCGGTGAAGCACTCGACCCAGTGGCCAACCGTTCTCCAGGTGATGAAATCATCGGCGCACTCAATGCCAGCGATGCTGTCGAAACCGGTCAGGTTGGCCGCGATCCTAGCCGAGATGGTTGCGTGGAACACAGGACGGATGGCGAGGTTGAAGCTGCGGATGTTCTCCGCCGGCATCGTGGCCACATTGTAGCTCATGGCGCGAACCGCGTGGTATTGTACAAGTCTAAGAAAGGCGCCTCGCGACTCATTGCGGGTCGTACCCTTCTCGACGTTGGCGACGACACCGGGCGAGAAATACGTTCTCAACAGACGGTGCTGGTCGTCTCGAGTTCTGTTGTCCATGGTCGTTGATTGATGGAATAAATGCGGTATGGAGGAAGATGAAGGATGGAGCCAAGAGGCGATGAAGAGTTTGTGGGAAAGACGGAGAGGAGGACAGAGGGGAGAGACTCACCCTACTTAATACCGCTGTACGACTTTCCTCTGAAGCTGTCGCCTCTCTAACCTGTCCTGCCTGTCCTGTCTGTTCTGGCGGGATCCTTGCTTCAAGACATATGCCTGCTCCCGATGAGCCTCTCATGTCAAAGGGATTCGTTTGAGCCGAACGGAAGCAATCCCCATACTTCTCACTTCGTGCTGTTCATCCATACCGCCACGCCTGAAAGGGACGCTGCCCGACAAGAAAAGAAAAGCCAGAAAGAACTTTCAAGTTTGGAATTTATATTACCATTCAGAGCATCCCATGCATGCCTTCAGTTGACGGCTGAAGATCGTGGGCAATGATGATACCCACTTCTCTGGAGCTGCGCGAAGGAGCCACGGGCATTCAGCTGCATGGAACATGCATTGCATCGCGTTGTTGGCTGTGGCTGACTTTTGCCTAGTCCAGCACCAATCCGCTCAGGGGGCCTGAAGGGTCTGAAGCCTTCTCTGTGTTTGACCTGGAGAAAGACGCCTTTCACATACGTCTTGGACTGTAGCTCCGAGAAGATGAACAAGGATTTAGGGACTTCTCGCCCTTCACATCTTGACAGTGCCTCGAGTAGGCTAGAAGCTCAGTGTTTGCCCTCTCAAAAGAAATCGCAAAAGTGGCTTTGTACTGCGAACTCAAGTACATTATTGCCTTTTGGTCAGGATTGTGCTCTGAGTTTAACCCATCTTTCCAAGCAGTTCGCCACATATTGGTGTGAGTTTGATATGTTGTGGATGACGGCGAAGGATCTGCTTTTACATGAACCACATGAGGCCACTCGCGATGGCCCCGGCCGTGTATCTGGTGATAATGATCCCAAGCCTTAGCATTTCCGACCCAATGGTTAAGCGACAAGTCCCCCCAGGCAGTCTCCTGGCCCTCGGGGACAATGTAGTGGGACAGCTCCGCTGGCGCAGGCTGAGTGCTGTAGTACTGGGTCAACAACACCCCTCGGTAGGGTTTTCGATCTCGGGCAGTCCATGGGGCTCTGAGGTGCGGGAGCTCTTCTACTGGTGGTTTTAGAGATATCATGTGCGTTCGGAAGGCTGTCCAGAGGTACTCTCGGAGAGGGCTAAATCTTGTGATAGCACCGTCGACAAATCTGGGCGTCATCTGGTTTTCTTCGATTTCTCTGTTCAAGGGAATGAAAGGTCGGTGCCATGTCTCGCGTAGGAAATGCTCGTTTGTACTGGTGTATACGCAGTTGTTGCCTGATGTTGCGGGCGTCCATGCTTGCCCCAAGTTAGCCGGGTCGTGTCGCAACTCATCCTGCCCGTCTTTGAGGCGGCTCAGAGATCGTGTGACTGGATGACTCCTCCATGCCTCAAGAATGTTTTTGCCTTTCAAGTTTATCTGCTCAACATCGATTGGCCTGATAAACTTGAGAAAGTCCGGATGAGGTCCCGGGTGTAGCTCCTTAGGATTCCCCTCATCGTCAGTACTAGACCACGCTGCTTTCTATCATTAATCGTCAGCATTTGCAACAAAGATGCGCCGTTATCCGGAGCCTACATCATATCTGAGAAAGGGACAACCTGCGCCAGCCAGCCCTGACAGGGTGTAGTCAAGCAGGTACTTCAACCAATCCCGCAAAGCAGTCTCGCCAATGAATGCTTCCGTACACTCGATACCTGCAATTTCATCGAACTCTTCAATGTTGGAAGCAATCTGAGCGCTGACATCCGGATGGAAGACCAGGCTGATGACAAGCAGAAGCCGGGCTTTCGTCATTCTGCTCGGCGAGTTGGCCGGCAAGTTCCAAAACTCACCGGGCAGCATGTCTTGACAACGGTACCGGACATATCTAGAGAGTGACAGCTGGTACTCGGCAAAGTGTTGAAAGTGTGGTCGTATCCTCGCGACCATGGCTGGAGAAAAGTACAGTTCCAGGAAGTGAAGCTGGATACGGCGGCGGCGGGTGAGCTCGCCGGTGGCACCCATTCTCTGCTCCGGGGACTGCTTCTTGTGTAATTCGAACCGGAGGGCTTTGAGGAATCTGGCGGGCCATGTTCCGTGCTCCCTTCGCCTTTCGTGCTGTTCTTCGGGAGTCAGTCGGTTCCACTCGTCGTCGTACATCTTGGCTACCGATTATTGCTAACTCGCTGGTGATCGAGCAGGGATTGAGAAGCGTTATTTTAATGAAAAGCTTTGCTTAGGAGCTTTGCTAGCCGGGCAGTGTCAGTTAGCTACCCGGCAGTATCGTAGCACACCCAATACTTCTATAAGGACGACAGCAGTAGAGAAAGCAGTAGGGCTAGTGATGATAATAACGACGACGACGACGACGATAGTCGCTTTGAGAGGATACACGCGTGTATGGACACTGCCCGACTAGCAAAACTTTTTTTTTGATGACCATCAAGGTAGAAGCAGAATTCTAAATGCTGTGTTCGTGTAAGAAAACCCCCCAGGGTTCATTATGAGTCTTATCTCCAAAAGTCTAAAAATGAGCCAATCTATTAAATACCTGAAGAGACTTATTCAACTTCATGGATCAACGTGCCACTGTATGCGCTTGATGTTATGCGTTTTGGCGTTTTGGGTAAATCTTGTTTCCTCGACGAGTCCGAGTCTCCATGTCAGTACCCGCCATCGCTCTTTCGTGACCTTCCCTTGTCACAAACCATCTTAGCATGCTGTCTTAATGTCCCCTTGTCTTTCGGTTTCACGATAACTTCAATCAGGTGGGGGCCACGACACCGTTCCCAGGAGCTCTCAAGAAACATAACACAATTGGACGCATCGCAGGAGTAGATCTGGGCAGGAGCTGTCTCGTGAGCTGAGAGCCATCGAACCGAGAACTCCGCGCTATATCTGATCAATTAAGCATATCTATGTCGCAGTGTGGTAAATATCCGGCTGGGAACACCACCTTCCCAAAGGTCTAAATAACCTCCCTGCCGTCGTTGGAATTCTTCCGCCATTCTCGCAGGTCACATGGCAGTCGCGTGCGGGCCCCTCCTCTCCCCTCCATCCTCCGGCAGGCCCGGCAAATGCGGGCGGAGGGTTACCTGCCCGATTTGAACCACGAGAGCTCCGCCCGCATATTTGGGGAGGAGGGTGGCATCGGAGGCCCGGCAGCCGACCGACCTGTCTCTTAATGCGGTATGATGCAGGGCCCTCTGCATTCCGGGCGGTGCTGACTACGAAAAAATGCACCTGCGCAACGGAATGACGGAATCTTTAAACTTCACGGACTGTCTCTTTTTTCGCATCTTAATAAGGCAGATCTCGTGGAGACGGGGCGGGACCCTGGAGATGCTCGGCAAATGTTGCTGCTCGGGGCGGTGATGAAAGACAGGAACCCGAAACCTTCTTTTTTTCCTTTTCGTCTCGTGTTTTCCCTTTTGCTCTGCATGCCGCGGAGACCTGTCCAGCACCTGCTTATCGGCTCGTCTTTTTTTTTCAGTCAATCGCGCCTCATGCGGTGCGGGAGCGCTGAAGTCATGTCTTGAAGCTCGAGTGTTTCGGCTTGAAGACGGCGTTTCTGAACAGCGGGCCCCCCGTGTCACGGCCGGCCGGTCGGTCAGCGTGTTTGCTGCGGCTGCTCGTGTCACTGCACTGCACGTCAACAGAGGCTGGCGCTTACAAGACTGCGATCGTCGCACAGGCTTTCTTTCTCGCCCGAGGAGAAGCGATTGACGACCGGTTGTTGTTCGGCTGTCCGTCTTTTGATTGCCAAGGGGCGCAAGGGGGCTCGATGTGGAGAGTCTCAGAGAGAGAGAGAGCCTGAGAGGAGACAGAGAGAGGGCTGAATGGGTTGCCGGAAGCAGAAGCTCTGGCAGCTGTTCGTGCCAAGACAATAGCCCGGTTAAAAAGACGGCGGGGATCCGGCTTGGCTTCCTCAGGTACCTACTGACAGTAGTAAAGGAGGTCGGGTGACTTGATGGGCACGCTTCTGTATTTTTTGTGTACCTACTAAGAGTATTGGATAGTCGAGATGAATAGTTTGCCCAAAATCATCCTCGGACTCCAGTGTCCTCGTACCCAAAGGTTGGTGCAATCTACTGCGAGGATCATCCATCTTGGGATACGACTTTTGGAGGAGCAGCTGCCCACCGACTCCCTGGAAAAATAAGGTCCATCTGGATCCGTTCCGCCCCGCTGTTAAGGTGCGCCGGTCCCCTGTGATCGGATTGGCTGCGAGCTGGGAGGGCCGCCGTGGCCTTTCATCACTTAAGGTGTGACCCGCCACGGGAGCCAATTGCCATGCGCCATTCTTTGTGTGTTACTCTGTACTGTTCAGTAAGTTGTCCAGGTGTGTCTGGGGTGGCAATCGGTTGAGCAAGCAAGGGGCAAAGGACAGAGACATTTTTGCAGAGGAGAAAAAAACAAGTGTCTTGCAATTCTCTCCCTACCTCTCTTCCACTCTGAGAATGATTTGACTTCAAGACAAGTGGCGGGCGTATCTGCGGCTGAGGGCGAAACTTTGCACCAATGAGAAGTTGACAGAGTTGGCTAGACGGGTTGAAACGTCTTTGATAGAGAGGATCTTCAGACATCCATACGGGCAATCTCGAATCCGTGACAGCTATCGTTAAGGAGAACCCGGTCGTACAAAGGTTGGATACATACAGAGCGGATACCAGTGTACGGGTGCGGGCCTCTGCAAAGCGAGGGGACCCAGATAAATCACTTGAAAAGACGTCTTGAACCCCTGACCTGCTGGAGCCAGATGCTTCAATCCGACACGGGGAAAGCTCAGATCTCGCGGCTTGGCGTCTGTAAACTGTCGTGCCTTTTTTTGCCTCTCCCGGCCCGTCTGCTCTTCTCTCGCCTCATGTGCGCTGACTGCTGCTCTCGGGCAGCTTCCACCGCCCACTGCGCACAGGTGGCGGGCGGCCTGTTCGCCCTACTGGTATGTACATAGCTGCGTAGTGCTGGTCTGATGTCGAAATACTTTCTGTGCCACGTTGTCGGCGCTGTTGAACGTTGTATCTGCTCATGCGCGTGCCGTCCACACACCCACATCCCACCTCCATATTACCTAAAGGCTTAGGTTGCCTTGCTCTGTATCCGTAGCGCGTTCCCCTCAGAGGCGCTGCACTAGAACACTTAAGTTCATCTTGGCCATCCTGGCAGCTCCGTGTACCCCCCTAAATGGAGCCGAAAGCCAATCTGTACATGCCACCTACCTGCTTGCTGACCTTCCTAGGCACCTTACCTCAACTGTCGTGCATCCCATCCAATTCTCTACGTATCTTTTCTTCCTGCTCCTCGTCTTGCCTTGCCTCAATCACACTCCAATTACTCTCCTTTCTTCCCTTCTTCCATTCCTTACACTGAACCACTCTTCCCGCCTGCTCAAGGACCCTTTCGAATCCGACCATCACCCAAATACCGAGAAATGACACTGCGTTAACTCACTGTCATCCTTGCCGCTCTTCTTTTCCCTGGACCCCTGGGTCCTCGATCGACGGTCGAACCGCTACCTGCAGTGTAGCACGCGACCGATCTTACACCCAATTCCCCAAGTTTGCGCCCCAGAGACTCGCCTCGGCGAGCAAGCAAGCAATCATGATGCCCCGCAGGAGGAGCCGTTATGTCCTTCTGGTGGCCTTTGTCATGGCCTTCATGCTGTACCAGGTCTTTAAGAACCCTGAATGGGATGCGACAAGCTACACCGGCAGCATCAAGCCCAACGAACCTGCCAAGGGCAAGACCGAGCCCGCGAAACAGCCTCCCGTCAACGAGCCACCCGCCAACAAGCCTCTGAACAACAACCCGCCCCCGGACAGCGAACATCCTCACGATCAGGAGGAGGATGAGCCCGAGCAGAACCCCATGCGGCAGACGGCCAAGCAGACCGTCGTCAAGATCCCCCAGCTCAAGACCGAGACCCCCAAGAAGGGCATTCCCACAAAGTCCGCAAACACGCCTACGATGCCCGTCTACAACCCCGACAACGAGCCTGAGGTCACGAAAACCGCCAAGATCCCGGCCGAGGACGAGTTCCACGCCAAGAAGCCTCCTGGCCGACCGAACGCCGACAACGCCGAGTCCAGCGCCTCCACGACGACCTCCCAGATCCATTGGCACAAGGTCAAGGAGCACTTTCCCGTTCCCACCGACAAGATCATTCCCCTTCCGACCGGAAAGCCCAAGGACATCCCCAGGATCCAGTACAAGTTCGAGCCCGAGACGACCGCCGTCAAGGAGAAGCGCGAGAGACGCCTGGCGCAGATCAAGGCTGAGATGGTTCGTTCTTGGGGAGGGTACCGCAAGTACGCCTGGATGCACGACGAGCTCTCCCCCGTCAGCGCTCGCTATCGTGACCCCTTCTGTGGCTGGGCTGCTACGCTTGTGGATGGTCTCGACACTCTCTGGATCATGGGCATGAAGGAGGAGTTCGACGAGGCTGCCAAGGCCGTCAAGGACATCGACTTCACCTTCAGCCCCACGCGCCGCGACATTCCCGTTTTCGAAACCATTATAAGATACCTGGGCGGGTTGCTTGCGGCGTACGACGTGAGCGGAGGAAAGAAGGGTGGTTACGACGTTTTGCTGGACAAGGCCGTTGAGCTGGCCGAGATCCTGATGGGCGTCTTCGATACCCCCAACCGCATGCCCATTCTGTACTACAACTGGCAGCCCCAGTACGCCTCCCAGCCGCACCGCGCTGGCAACGTCGGCGTCGCTGAGCTGGGTTCCATGACTATGGAGTTCACCCGCCTCGCTCAGTTGACCGGAGAAAACAAGTACTACGATGCGATTGCGCGCATCACCGACGCTTTGGAGGATCTCCAGAAACGTGGCACCACCTTGAACGGCATCTTCCCCGAGCAACTCGACGCTTCAGGCTGCAACAGGACCGCGGAGGCCATTCGCTACCAGGAGGAGCAGGCTGCGGCTGCAGCTGCCAGCGCCGCGGCCGTCGCCTCGCACAAGAAAGAGCCCGAAGGCCACAAGCCTGCCGTGGACGAGAAGCGCGACGAGCCCGTGGCACCCCGTGAGACAGGCCTCTCGAAGCGTGCTGTTGGTGTCACTGAGGATGGTGAGTCTGTGGTGAAGAACGCCAATGTCGACAAGGAAGAGGCTTTCCCGAAGCCGATTGTGAATGAGCAGCCTTTGTATCC